TAACAGAACGCTCTATGTTGTTAACTTAAAAATTTTAAAAATATTTGATTATCATTTTAGCTAATTAGTTGACAGTTTTGATTGGGACAAAAGAAACTTTTCCAAAAAGAATAAAAGAAAAAGAAAAATTAAAATAAATTTTATAATTATTTTCCTACAATCGAACCAAAAATTGACCTGCTCTAGTATGGTTCTCGATTTTGGGAATAGAATTAAGCCCATATTTGATTCCCATTTTTTGGGGTAAAATGTATCATGAAATAGCGATTTTTTGGAGAATATGTTGTTAAAATGTAAGGAAATTTTTTTGAAATACGTGTATAATTATTTTATGGGAGAATGCGTAGTTGAAATGAGTTTGAAAAAATATATTCTTGGGAAAATGAGGCTCAAACAGGAGCTAAAAACTCAGATCGCATATAGATAAGCCAATTAAGCCATTTTTTATCTCATTATTCTCAAAATACATTTTTCTTTTTTTTTAACCATACATTTTTCAATAAAATAATATTACACGCAAACTCAAAACTTTTTCTTATTTTTTAATCACACATTTTAAGTCAATCTACAATTTCAAAATGCATTCTTTACCAAATAATGGGGCTCAAATAAGGGCTAAAATTACTCATTTCCTTTGAAATATTAAACTATTAACTAATTATTTTTTTTATTTTTTTTTTGAGAATGATGTTTTATTTTGGCCTTTTGAACTACAATATACTTAATTTTCTATTTTGACCTTTGATCTCCATTTTTTTTTTTTCAAAATATATTTTTCTCTCTTCATTTGAACCACACATTTTTCAATAAAATATATTACACACAATCCAAAAAAAATTTCTTCATTTTTAACTACACATTCTCCATCATTTTACTATTTCAAAATTCATTCTAACAATATTGGATCTCAAACAGGAAAACTCGGCAATATTTAGAACTTTCTTGACAATTCTTTTGAGGACTTAGCAATTTATATTGTTTTGAAGAATTCACATGTACTTTGTACAGTTGAATGATGCTTGATGGTATGTGTATAATGTTAGGATACGTTTGATTGTCAATATTTTTTCGTGGAAATGTATTTTTTTCACATAATTTTCTACCTTTGTGTTGTTTGATTGACAATTGTTTTTACAAAAAATATTTTCCTACTTTTGGTCATACAACCATACTTTCCTACCACTACAAAAAAAAAAAAAA